GGTCTACTGGTCCACCAGTCGCGCACAAGGGTTTCGAATAAGCATCACTTGCCAGCAGCAATAAAACAGTCGCCAACAGTATGCACTTCATTTTTGCGAGAGAATTATTCTTAAACCGTGAAGAACTGCGACAGAACTGAACCTCGCAAGGCGACGAGCCTTCCTTACATACTTGCGACAATTTCTTTTCCAAACAGGATATCAGCACATTGATGCTTGGCAATCCCACGATTTAATAGTAGTCAACTGCTGTTAATCGCTGCTGTTACACAACCTGTGTTAACAGATTACGTAAACAATTACGATGATTTCTGGATGACATGAGCAACGTGATAGACACCTATGCTCAAGATTATAATGAAAGAATACTATCGTGGCAAGTAGCCTAAACCAAATCACTACAATAGTACAAACAACCACTAAATTTAAGGTAAAATACTATTCGAAATATTCATTCTGCCGGATATTCTTGAGCTGTAATTACTACAGTAAAGGGACTACCCACAAATTTTATGTAGGTGCCCTAATCCATTCATATTGTAGTTTCGGGGAGGCATTCTCTGCAGAAGGCATACAATAAACAGAATATGGTAGTGACCACTGAAGAACTTGCCTACTCTTATCATCAGATACACCACCGTCAAGATAGAGAAGTACACTTTCTGCCATTAGCACCAGAACAATCGAAAAAACGATAAACTTCATTTTGTCAACGAGGCACCTTCAATCTAGCGAATTGAAGTAACAATGGTTTTTGATACGTTGACACGGTTCTTATATAGCCTGTCCGTATTCGGCTGGTGACATTTCGTTAAGAATTTTCAATAGCAAGTCGGACATGTCATAGGAAATACGTCAGAAATACTAATTACATGATTTATCTATGCGTAATGTGACATCGGTTCGAACATTCTTCCTCAGTTGTTTGCAAGAGTTCACAGATCTTAATCGGTTGAGTTATTCACGGAAAACTAAGGCGACTTTTTCCTTGAGGACGAGGTCATTCGGCAAACTAGACTGCGAAGTATTCTATATATTCTCGACCACGTAATTAATTAAGTAATTTAATGAACTTAATAGATATGAAATCTGCGAATAGAGCTAATAAATACTTCTGATGCTCCCTTTCAGGAATATCTTCCCTAAACTGAGAAAAATACTGAAATAGTTTCTAACAAAGTAATCAATAGGAAGAAGTAACATTGTCTGAACGGTTCAGATGAAATAATGTATTCCTAATATTTTGCAATTGTTATGCTTTAGGAACAACTTTATAATCCCTTTAGGGTCAGAAAGCTCAGACTATCAGACAAGGTTATCTTTGAAATATTATTTATCACTCACCTATTTAATCTGCATTCGAATCTCTACATATTCCAGCGGGATCGAGCTCTTGGCCTGTTGGGCACAATCTATCCATATCTACATTCAAAGAAAACAACAGTGTTTCCACTAATTCTCCATCGTTACTGTCAGTCAAGTCATCTGCACAGGCCGGTTCCAAATACAGATCTGCCATCAGGAGCAGAACAGCTGCTAAGAAAGAATATTTCATGCTGCTGTGATACTCTTTCCTCAGCGTGTAACAACAAAACTGATCACAGTACCATGGGAAACCTTCCTTTATTATAATCCTGAATTACATCACGGTTCCCCACTACAATGAATTTTGTTGGCAGTGAGTGTTACACAATAGTACATTGTTTATACTTGATGACCGACATTAGTACCTCCATGTACAACATTAAATATACACATATCTGATTTTTCAACGCAGTTACATTTTTCCACTCGTTGATTAAAAGTAAAATTATTTTAGGGAAACAGTAGAATTAACTTATAAAATACATCTAGGCCAACTTGGCAATTTTCTAGTTAATTGTTACTTTCCTTGCTGCATTATTCGATGCATTTGATTCAGTGTTTTCCAAGCGAAGTTATTACAAATTCTTTAGAGGTATGTCACATAGATCCGTCTATTATCTTGAATACTGAATGCATAATGTGTTCTGTCGGTCAAGAGAACTATATTCAAATGGTGAGCCACTTATCTTTAAAAGGCACGGGTGAATAATGCAGCCCGTATTATCTTTATCCACTAATTACTCCTGGCGAATTATCTAACAAAGATGGTAATGATGATGATGCTTACCTAACACCAGCCGAGTAATCGAAATTCAGGCTTAGAGGATAATGTATGTCATATCTGGATGATGCTCGGATAAAATTGTTATAATATCCTTTCCGACATAATAAAGTATCATTTACATAATTACATTAAACCAATGTACGAAGGGGTATATCTACGACTTTCTAGTTAATGTTAGCAATAAAATATGTATTAAAAATGTAAAATAATAATTATTTGAACACTCCGTTCTAATTTAATTTAATTCATTGAAGCACCTGCAATTAAAGCTCTTGCCTTACGAATTATTCCTCAGCTATAATCGATAAAACTATTTTGCCATCGATAGATGATTAGAAAAGAAAAAAATGTTTCCTCCAAAGTACAATGATTGGTAACAGAAGAATAATGTTTAGTTATGATTAAAATCTCCAACACGAGTTTCACACGATAGTTTAAAGCAAAAGATTTAAGAATTCACGAATGATAAATACAATACATAGCGCTACGTGTTACACGGAGTTGTACATCTCGTGCGAGAAAGATCACAGACTGGTTAGACCGGCTCGAGCAGAATTATGAGTGTATACAATTACATATAACTATCATAGTTCGGCTCGCTTCCCTGGGAATGGATGAACGGCACAAATCTGCGTATACGTGTGTTTTGAATAAATGATTAAGCCGCTGCAACATTCCAAGCGAAATTGATTTTCGGTAATATTGTTTGTTGTATGTTAATGATATTCATGTTAAGCAAATCTAAAATATTCCAAATGTACGTGAAGTTCATGCATGATTACTAAACAATGTTCTAGGAAGTGTGCAAGTCAGATGAATGTCTAGAAACGTATATATTGTAAGCGCGATTTGATTTAGGGTTCATTATCTTATTGCAAATAGTATAGTAAAAGTATTGTTTAAACAAATAAAATATTCTCTTTCTTCTAGAATATTATGTTAATTGCACTTACATATGAATCAAGTAATTTTCAGGTTTTGCTGATATATGTAAGAGTATAAGCAAAGATGTCACTAAATGGTACCGTAGTCCTGGCATTAACTTATAATATTTTCAGTGAAACAGATCAGTCACTGATCAGGCAACGTTTATTTGGTACTTAATACACGGCAACACGTGTGAATTTCATTTACGAGCGCTATAATTTAGCGACCGCGTAGACACTTCTTTTCCAGTATATTTATGACATACAGATGTCATAAATATGATTAAGTTGTGGACTAGATGACAAGCTAGATCACCTATGCTTAAGCTTTTATGAAAGAAGTTTTTAAATGTAGAAACATTGTAAATTTCTGATATCACTACTAAATAATTATTATTTTCAAATTTCCTACGGTGAAGCTCTTGTTAAAAAAATGTTAAGATTCTTAAACCTACAGACTTAATGACTTCCGCCAAGTATATTGAAGCCTCTGAACGTTTGAAATATTCCAGCATCTTAATAACTTTCAAAGCATTCATAATTTTCATAATGTCCGAATCTCCCAAAGCTTTGAACGTCAGAATTCTATATAGAAATCAAAACAGACACAAATAGACATCTCATCCTATTCCATTCATCGTATTAAATACCCGACTAATCCCTCCTAATACTCTAAGAAAGGCAAACTTCTCCACCAGGTACCCAACAACTTTCCAAACGAAAAGAGAAAAACAAGAAACAAACTTCACCTCAAACCCCAACACTGCAATGGCGACGCAAAAATCCAGCTAATTCTTTTTCCCGCAGAAACCAATGCAAAGTATGAACTGCGCCCACGCATGTAAACAAGAAAGAAGATAAAAAGAAGTAGCTAAAAAAGTCGTAAAGACCGAGGAACGCAGATGACCAGCGGGCTCAACGGATTAAAAAGCAACAGTTATCCTGGATCAGCAATCCTGGAGAAGTAGACAGTCGATGGGCAAGTGATAACGAGTGAAAAGGAATGCGAGGAGCTGCACGTCGGCGAAATCAAAAGCCGATCGAAGAGGCATATCGTTACCGCACCCCGGAGAGACAATGAAATATACATAGATGGCGTCCAACATAAGCTCGATCCGGCTGGCATATGGCGACGCGTTATCGATTTCCAGTAAAAATGCAGGGAGCATAGTGTCTCGTAATTCCAGCGCTCGAACAAGAGTATGATCTCTAGAATGTGGACCCTTATGTAAATTCAATTTTGTAATTAATATAATTAAAAAAGCATATGCTGTGTTATACTGAATATTTTTGCATTAAATGTTCGCTCTTTAGTTAGTAAGGTGCTACACTAGTTTAGTATAGTAAATATTACTGCATTATTTAGTATAGTGTCAGTATCACTACTTTTTATTCCTGAGGAAAACTATAAACAGCCAAGCATGGGAATGTTTTACGTATTCTTTATTTTTAGAGTGTACAATTTTTATTATAGAGTACTCAATTTTTATTTTTTCATAAAATCCGCAGTCCGCTGATTACACTAAAATTGTAATAAGATTGGCTCGTATATTCGTTTGCTCTCTGGTTTTGATTGGGAAAGAACGTAAATAGAGTTACTAGTGGTGATATGTTGATGGATAGACACAGTAAATTTGATATAGAATAACTAGTTCGTTTTTATTTCTTTTGTTTTGTTCTTTGTTCCTTTTTACTCTGTTCGTTTTTGTTTGGCCTGTATTTGGTAGAAAAATAAGGATCGAATTAGCTTTTACATATGTTGGGTTCTTGTTCATATCACCGTTCTGTTAGATGGAGATACTCGGGTGTTCTTGTTCGACGGGGAAAACTGAATGGAAGAGGGAAAAATATCTTGCGCAAGGAATATACCCATCTTTTTGTCAATAGCTCTAACTGTGAAGTATTGAGTGACACATAATATAAGGAAACTGTAAATTTAATGTTTATTCAATTTAATCTACATATAAGTTAGTTTGCCCATAACATATAGTTGTCGTATTCCGAAATCTAAGACAGTCTCTAATTACGAAACTGTCTTATCTTTTGACTGACCATCCATCGTCATGTTCCTGGAATCAAAAGAAATGTGCCTATGTATATAAAAAGTAATTTCTCATTTATTTGTCATAATGGTGTTAGTGTTAGCTATCTTTATTGTAGTTAATGTATCAGTTGAGTTACTGGTTTATTGATGTTAAGTAGAAATTGTATATGATTCTGTCTAAACAAATTGGACGAGTAGATACTGTCAAAATTTCAAGGACCATGCATAATTGATGAAGATATCAGGACCCTCTTTCTGAATACCTTTGAACTGCTGGATCGTTCTTGCACATGTTAATCAGGCGGATTATTTATGGACAAAGTCACTAAGTAACTTTAATCTTGAAGAAAATGGTAACGGGACTGGTCAGACAGAACTGCCATTTATATTTTTTTTTGAAGATGCTATATAGTGATTCTGAAGAAACTATCTTGTGGTAAAAGTAATTTCCACGTGACATTTTCATTCGCCATGTTTATCTTAACCTAACTTGACCTCTCAGTGTGCAATGAGAACTGGGGCTTGTGGTGAAGATTTCTAGCTTAACTGATATTGACATGAGACGTAACAACATAAGAGCAAAAACAAAGAAACTAATGTTATTGCTTTCAAAATAAATAATTAAACGGCTAACTTTAATTTATTGAAATGATCTGTGTTTTGCTTACAAAGTAAGAGAATGAAGAAACTTATAAAAAATATTTTAGATGTCTCCTACGACGATAAATCGATGTGTACTAGCTGAAGATGCATTCTAATTATTAATACATTTTAAGGATTAATTAACTAATTTATTAATTAAACACATAGCTATGAGACAGTACACATTTTTAAAGTTTCTACAATCGTAATTGGCGTTAGCTATGGAGAAATAATATTTTAGTTATCTGTCTGAAGAAAGGCAAAAATATTTCAGATATTCCCAATCATGAATAATTGAATATTTCTAAGTAAAGATAAGCAATCAGCACCTACAGTTGCATACCAACAATATAGATATCTAGACTCAGTATTGCAAAACAAGGATCCTCCAACAATGTTCAGTGACAAACACTTTGTGTAGCAACGATATTATCTGTCACTCACCTAAATATATCCATAATAATTCCTGAATACAGGAACACAGTTTCCTCTGAAACCTGGTTGGTAACCTCGAGGGCAAGGGGCAGCCCAGTTCTTGGGTTTATTGGTCCACCGCCCGCGCACGCGGGTTTCGAATAAACATCGCATGCAAGCAGCAATAAAACAGTCACTAACAGTATGCACTTTATTTTTGCGAGAGAATTATTCTTAAATCGTGAAGAAGCACGACAGAACTGAACCTCGCAGGATGAAGAAAGGCCTCTTTAAATACTTCCAACAATTCCTTTTCCAAACATGTTGCTAATGCTTGGAAGTTCCATGATTTAATAATGGTACACTGTCACTAACGACTGTTGTTACAGAACCTGTGTTAATAGATTGCGTACACAATTGAGATGATTTATGGATGACATGAGCAACTCGATAGACACCTAAGCTTAAGATCATAATGAAAGAATCCTATCGTGGCAAGGAGCCTAACCCAAATCACTACAATAGTACAAACAACCACTAAATTTAAGGTTAAATACTATCCGAAATATTCATTCTGTCGGATATTATTGAGCTGTAATTACTACAGTAGAGGGACTATCTACGCACCTGACTACTAGCTGTCATCGGCAGGCATAAAAATTTTATGTACGTGCCCTAATGCATCCATCTTGTAGTTTGGGAGAGGCGTTCTGTGTGGAAGGTTTACAACAGTAATGATAACTCTAGCTAAACCAACATGGGGGAGCCTGCCTACTCCTGTGTCAGATTCGTTGACGGCAGGGTAAAGAAGTACACTTTCTGCCATTAGCAACATAACAATCGCCAAAGCGATGGACTTCATTTTGTCAACGAGGCACCTTCACTCTAGCGAACAGAAGTAACAATGGTTTTTGGTCCGCTGACACGGTTCTTATATAGCCTGTCCGTATTCGGCTGGTGACATTTCGTTAAGAATTTTCAAAAGCAAGTCATACATATCATGGAAAATACGTCAGAAATACTGATTACATGACTTATCTATGCAGAATGTGACATCGGTTAGAATATTCTTCCTCAGTTGATTGCAAGAGTTCACAGATCCTAATCGGTTGAGTTATTTACGGAAAAATAAAGCGATATTTATCTTGAGGACGAGGTCATTCAGCAAACGAGACTGCGAAGTATTCTATATATTCTCGACCATGTAATTAATTAAGTAATTTAATAAACTTATTAGATATGAAACCTGCGAACGGAGCTAATAAATACTTCTGATGCTCTCTTTCAGGAATATCTTCCCTAAACTGAGAAAAATACTGAAATAGTTTCTAACGAAGGAATCAATAGGAAGAAGTAACATTGTCTGAACGTTTCAGATGAAATAAATAACGTATTCCTAATATTTTGCAATTGATATGCTTTAGGAACAACTCTATAGTCTTTATAGAATTATAGAGCTCACCCTTTAACAAAAGGTTACTCTTGAAACGTTATTTATCACTCACCTATTTAATCTGCAATCAAATCTCTACATATTCCAGCGGGATCTAAATTTTGGCCCTCCGGGCACTCTTTATCAGGGACTATAATCATGGAAGACAAAGGCAATGTAAATTGCACTGGTTCTACTTCGTTACTGTCAGTCAAGTCATCTGCACAGGACGGTTCCAAATACAGATCTGCCATCAGGAGCAGAACAGCTGCTAAGAAAGAACACTTCATGCTGCTGTGATTTTCTTTCCTCAGCGTGTAACAACAGAACTGATCACAGTACCATGGGAAACCTTCCTTTTTTATAATCTTGAATTACATCACGGTTCCCCACTACAATGAATTTTGTTGGCAGTGAGTGTTACACAATAGTACATTGTTTATACTTGATGACCGACATTAGTACCTCCATGTACAACATTAAATATACACATATCTGATTTTCCAACGCAGTTACATTTTTCCACTCGTTGATTAAAAGTAAAATTATTTTAGGGAAACAGTAGAATTAACTTATAAAATACATCTAGGCCAACTTGGCAATTTTCTAGTTAATTGTTACTTCCCTTGCTGCCTTATTCGATGCACTTGTTTCGGTATTTTCCAAGCGTAGCTGTTACAAATTCTTTAGAGGTTTGTTACCCAGAACTATCCATTATCAGTAGCAATAGGATTACCACGAAGACATACATCATCTGCAGCTTCTTGAAAACTGAATACATAATGTGTTCTGTCTGCCAAAGGAACGATATTGAAATGTACAGGCTGTTGTCTTTAAAAGGCATGAGTGAATAATGAAGCCTCTATTACCTTATCCACTAATTACTCCTCGAGAATTATCTAACACAGATGGTAATGATGATGATGCTTACCTAACACGAGCCGAGTAATCGTTATTCTAGCTTATCCCCGTCCCGTAGAATTAATGTTAAATTATATTTGAAATCTTGAGCCACGAGTCTCAGAAGTTATAAGGTAAGGGGTTAACCCTTTGCACTCCTATTGTGCTTTTTTATCAAGATATTTTTAAAATAGATTATCTTGTGGGATGAATGGTTTGTTGTGCGTGCGTGCCGTCGACAGGTCATGTTGCGACGGACCGGCGCCACTATATTTGGAAAAGAGTGCGACTGCGTTTGGAAAATCTTGAGTGGCTGAAAGAATACGAGGAAGAGTGTCTGGAACTGAGCGACTGGACCGTGAGAAAAGCGTGTACGTGACTGCGTGAATTTTGACTATGGGCGAAAGATGCGAGTGAAAAGCGTGCAAGGGTGAGAAAGACAGAGCGAATGGGAGTGTGTATTAAAAGCGAGTGGGACATTTGTTCTATTTCCAGTGGGAAATGTGCTCGAGGAACATTTTGTGCAAGAGAGTGGAGAGGAACATTTTGTGCGTGATAGCAGATAGAGAGACATTGTGGAGCGTGACCTGAGTTGAGCGTGATCTTCTGAGCGTGACATAGAGTAACACAGCGAGTAACAGTTAGCGAGTCAGCGAGTTATAATAGAATAAAGTATTTATTATTGTTATCTAGTGAGTCTAATTCTTTCTTTTTATTCCTCACCATGGCAACACGTGGGATTTTAATAAAATAATTCCTACAATATTATTATGCTATTTTCAATAATATTAGTAAGAAGAATCTTTTACACTGCTCTTTACAGATCCTCTATCTTTTAAAATGCATTTCAAAGAAAATATCGTAACAATACACAGTTATCGAGGAAAAAGTGCAAAAGAAATTCGAAGTGGAATGTGTTAAGGGTGAAGATATCATCCACCAAAACTACCCCCGCGTGTTATCGAGGCCCGTCGACCGCTGTCGTCAACGCGGTGACAACGGTTTCCCGGAATAACAGCGGCGCGGGCCGGGCCGCGAATAAAACTAACAGATTATAAATGGCGGCGACAGCTGCGAGGGATACGAGCTAAACCTGGCACGGCGCCAAGACATGTTTAGCCACATTCCGCGAGAATAGCCCCGCGCCGCGCACGCCGTGAATGCTGCCATCCCGGTAATGCGAAGAGGAAATCTTATTACCGAGCCCCCGCGGCCGAAGACCCGGTCGGAATTAGTAAACGCGTGATCTACAATGCAGATTTTTCGTTCGACCTCTTCTCCCCTGCACAGAGACGCTCGCTTAAATCCCGGAATTTCGGAGTAAAATTAAAGCGAGCAGGTAAAACAAGAGGAAGCTATTGTACGTTACTCACGTGAGCCTGCATCTACAGTGCAGATTTTTCGTTCGACCTCTTCTCCCCTGCACAGCGACGCTCGCTTAAATCCCGGAATTTCGGAGTAAAATTAAAGCGAGCAGGTAAAACAAGCCACACGTCTTCATCGAGCAAAATCCACACAATGGAAAAAATATAACAGTAAATCGTTTGATTGAATTGTTATGATTGTTAAACTTCGTCTAGCTGAATGTCATTGTATTAGGTAGCATTATTTTTAACATAGAAATGTTTTCAAATAACCCTCGTTTCATTGAGTGAACTATAGTAATTCGATTTGGTTGGGGGTCACCGGTGACCCCCATGGCATTCAACGTGTTATTTTTCTATAGGTGGTTTATAATAAATATATGGATATTAAAAAATATGGATTATATTTTAAGTTAATGTATTTTGTTAGACAGATACAGATCAAAGAAATATGTAAGTATGCAATTAAGAATATTTCAATTGCAATCACTTCAACTTTATCCTCTGAAATGTAGTGCCAGTGAATTTCTGAGATTCTCGTGATTAAAATTAATCTAAACACGATGGAAATTGGGTTATTTTTACCGATATTGTAATTAACGAAATTCAGGGCTCATTTGCCTCAAATTCTCAAAATTTCTAAAAATTTTCCCCATTGTAATGAGAGGAGCTCATCCTAGCTCAGAGCCAACTCCGAGAATAAGAATTAGAAAGAAGAAATGCTTCAAAATGTACAGTAATTTAAGATTGAAGTTTATAATAACATTCTACAGATATTTGAATGCGGCACATGCACAAAGTGGAGCAGTCTATTTACAAAATTAGTTTATCGGATAACAAGGGTCGCGAACAATACTCCCTCGCAGTAACTCCGACATATACGTTTTCCAAATAATGCTCTTTGCGCGAAGTACCATTTTCACTCGCGCCTTCTCTAATTGTTCTTCATAATTCCAGAGTTAACGTGAAAATTTACTGGTCGTGATATTTTCTCTCTCTCTCTTTTCGATGGTGTATGTATGTATGTATGTATGTATGTATGTATGTGTATTCGCCCGTCGTAATCGTTGCATCGCGGAAGTGGGCTCGTTTTCCGGAAGTCACGTTCGAGTGACGGGCTTGATGTGAATGAACCGAGGGTTGGGGAGGGTTGTGCACTTTGGGGTGAGTCGAGGAGATACGACATCGTTGGGGAACTATGAAATGGCATTTCGCAGGATAATCATGAAGATTATCGTTTACGACAATAATCGTTGTCGACAATGCTTATGTGCTAAACGTTAATGTATTGTTTAATTTATTAACGTAATTCTCTTGAGGAAAATTATTTTCATTAGCTTCTAATTACTTGGAATTGAATTATTTTTATATTTTTGCAGGGTTGTATGATTATTGTTTACGACAATAATCATTGTTGGCAATGCGTTTGTGCTAAACGTTAATGTATTGCTTAATTCATTAACGTAATTCTCTTGAGGAAAAACATTTTCATTAGCTTCTAATTATTTGGAATTGAATTATTTTTATATTTTTGTAGGGTTGGATGATTGCTAATATCCACACACCAAACATTGATATTACAACTAATTTAGCAAACACATTTAAGGAAAATTACTGTTATAAACTGTTAATTATGTTTACATCAGAATTAGTTGAATTAAATTTGAAAAATTTTCTCTCGAGCGCAAAATAATTTTTTAAATGAATAAATTGAAATCATTGATTACTAAATCTGATTTATTTACGAATTACAGTTGAGTGGATCATTAATTAAACACATCTATAGTTTTCGTTGACTATAAACTAATTTTTCCATCTGAATAAATTAAGTAGAGTGCGCCTAAATTTAGTTTCATGCAACTCGATATTTTGTAGGATATCGCTGACGACTGATATTGGACTTCAGTTGGCAAGTGCACTTGTAACTTCAGGATTAAATTAAGTTTGATACGTCAATGGATCTATCTCGGATTTACTTCAGTCGGAATAAGGCGTGTCTGACCAATGCTGGTTACTGAAAACCGCATTAAGTTCGGGATGGATTGAATCGTGTTCAATTTGTGCTGACTTAATCAAATTGAAACAAGTCGGGCCTCTATATCCCAATATTTTATGTAATACAAACCACGCAAACGATCGATTCACAGTAAAGTTCGTACGTTGATTCCTCGTAAGGCTCAGCTTCTATTAATCTCTT